CGGGGTGTCCCTCGCCATTTCTCCCGGGCGGGCGAGGTGGGGGGGGGGGGGGAGTTGTGATGGTGTTAGGAGTGCATGTTACCGAGGGGGAAAAAGGATTTGGGTGCTGGCACTGCACACTACGGGGAGGATAGAGGCATTGATGGTGGTGCAAGGTACCTCTGGCTCAACTCTGTCCGATGTCCTGCCCAGCTCACTGACATCACTGGTTGCCAGGAGATGGGCGGGACGCCAGCCAGAGCATCTCGCTCAGCTCCTGGCAGCTACTGACATCAGTGAGCTGGGCGTGACGTTGGCCAGAGTGTCACAGGTTGCTAGGAGCTCTTAGCAACCTGGAAGGCTTTGGCCAGAAAGGGGGCAGCGGGCAACCACCTCAATCTGGGGATACCTGCTCAAGGTGTGTGGTGGCATCTGCAAGGACACACTATTGATGACTGGACTTTACCTGAAGCAGATGTGAAACCCCCCTCCCCCCTGGCAGATAGAGGAGACCTAGCATAGAGAGAGGATACACAGGCACCTGGCACACCTGGAAGTGTAGAATGCTGAACAGTAAGGCTGATTTACTAAAGGAATTGAAAATGTTCACATAATAAATTGTCCAGTCGCAGGGTGGGGTTAGGAGGGGACCTCTAAGTGTGCTATGGGGTTCTTCAGTTTAGAGATACACATAAATATTGGCCTTACAATTATTGCTCTCTCTGGCGTACGCGGCGATACCCAACATGTGTATCGCAATTGTCGATTTTGTACGTAGGCGCACCCGACGCGCGTGCTCGCGGGGGCGAGGACTTTAAAATGTTTACATTATTTTTATATTTAATTTATTTAATATTATTTGTAAAACGGGGGGGCCCGGGGAACAGGGGGGGGGGTGTGGGGGGGGGGGGCGGCCACTTTACCAGATTGTAGAAGCGATCTGGCGGCACCTGAGCCACCAGAATCGCTTCTACTGTAAAGCTGGCTGCCGGCTCTACAAAACTGAACAGAGTGCCGGTGGCTAAAAGCAGCCGGGAGTCTGTTTAACCCCTTCAGGATTATCCAGTCATGGGTCGTGAAGGGGTTAAATAGATTCTTACCTAGTAAAGTCCATGGTATCAATTACATACCAGCCACACGTCATAAATCCTACTTATCTGCATTATTATCACATTGAGTTGCAAGTTAATATTTAATAAAACTTTACTGCAGACAAACATGAAACACAGAATTAAAATACATGATTATGAGACACAAGATGATTTTACCTGTACAAAGTTTGTAATTTTGTCTAGCTAGTCCTGAGAAAAACACAGCCCTGCAAGACTGAAGAGCAAGGTTGGCTATCTCTTTTTTCATACAGCATTTCCTCCCAGCCCCCAGGCATGTGATTGGACAGTGAAGGAGCAGCAGCATGCTGATGAGCTCATCTGTCTCCTTGCTCTGCCTAGCAGAGAGTAGAGCCAGATTGTCTCTTCCTGCTGCCTCTCTGTCTTCAGCTCACCACATATGTTACAATCTTATTGTACAATCTCCTCCAGAGCTACCTACAACTATGTAGTACAAGAGTCTGCTCTCGGATAAAATAATATTAGATAATTTAGGTAGGTCATCAAAAAATATAGTTATGGTAAATGTAATGAAAATTGGAACTTGTATGGTGAGCTTTAATATTGTTGTAAAGGGGCTCAGAAAGATGCTGATATTAACCACCTTCCATCCATGGCCGTTTGTGAACGGCCGGACGGGAGTCTGCTAGGAGCGGGAGGGCATCTTAAGACGTCCTGCCCCTCCCCCCTCTCGTGTGCGGCACTCAGCGCGCACATGAGAGGGAAAACTGTGAGCATGTAAACAGCCAGCGATGGCTGTTTACATACAAGCGATCAGGCGTCTCTAGAGACGCCCGATCGCTTGCAGGAGCTGCGGGTGTGCGGCCTCCCCACCCCCCCCGTACCTCTGTCCCGCCGTCTCCTCGTCGCCGCTGCCGGTCCGTGAAAATACTGAAAAATGGCCTGGCCAGGAAGGGGGTGAAACACAGCGGTCTTCAAGTGGTTAAAAGAGATTCAAAATCTACTAACTAGGGTTGTAGATTGGCACTCGGTATCAAAGGAATGAAATGTGGCCTCGTGCCATGGATAACCAAAATAACATCATTTCCTCAGACGTTTACTGCCTTTGGAAATCCAGAGTTCCACAGGTTTCACATCAGTCTTTCTTAACATCAGAGTCCCCCTTCGCATAAAGAGCTTACTTTGGCACTGGAGTCCCCCCTTTACATCAGGAGCCCCCACCACATCAGAGTCCCCCTTTACATTAGGGTCCCTACTTCACATCAGAGTCCCCGCTTTTACATCAGGAGCCCGCTTCACATAAGAATCCCCCTTTATATCAGGGGCCCCCTTCGTATCAGAGTCCCCCTTTACATTAGTGTCCATACTTCGCATCAGAGTCCCCCCCTTTACATCACGAGCCCCTTTTACATTAGGGTCCCTACTTCACATCAGAGTCCCCACTTTTACATAAGGAGCCCCCCTTTACATCGACGAGACCCAAACGCAGCCCTGACGAGACCCCAAACGCAGCCCGGACGAGACCCCAAACGCAGCCCTGACGAGACCCCAAACGCAGCCCAAACTGCACAGTACAATGAAAGTTTGCCAAAAAAATTAGAAAAGCTCTTTTCTTTAGTTTTAGTATGTGTAAATAATTGGGGGGGGCAGTAGCCGGCAAAACAACCTCCCTGAAATGAGTTTTTGCAGGTTGGGATGTCTGCACTAGGGTGCGTTGCCAACAATGTTCACAAGTGTGCTAGGCTAGGTTCACACCTAGGCGATTTATTGTGCGGTTTGATCCGCATGATATCGTGCAAAACACAGATTCGCATTGAAGTCAATGGAGAGCCTGTTCACACCTTTGCAGTTTGTCGCGCAGACTAGATCGCCTGTAGCGGAAAAAAAGCTGCAGGAGCTATTTTTGGGCGGTTTTCAAAGCACGGTCGCGCAAACGAAACGCACAACAGCTCACAAGTTCAATCGCCTAGGTGTGAACTTTGCCTGAAGCATGGCAACCCAATGCCTGAAGCATGGCAACCCAGCAAGCGGCCTAAGTTATACAGTGCTCTAATGCAATGGTACAACAGCAGTGATCCTGGGAATGTTACAATGTTTGGGAATGTTACAACGTTGTCACCGCAGCACTTCCGGCTTTGGCATATTTGTGGCACTGTCCCCATAGCTCCAGCATGGTTAAGTCATCTTACCTTCTTGTGCATGGCTTCCTGTTGTATGAGGGTCACTGGGTGGCCTTTATGAATGCCAAGTAAGGGGCACAGGGTACAGATGCACACTCTGCACTTACTACAGTACATCTCCACCGGCCTGTCCCTGTGCTCTATGCACCGGCGGGTAACACTCCTCATTCTCCTGGCCTCTTCTCCCGCCGCATCACACACACGGTGCCCAGCCAGTGCCACCCCGCCACTTTCCTCTTCCAGCATGTGCGGCTGGAAGTGCTCAGGACAATACGACTCCCCACAGGTCAAGCAGCTCCACCGGGCAATACATGGCTGATGAGCTGGGCACACGTTGCATTGCAAGGGACGCTGCCTCTGACTGGCTTGGCTCTCCCTGGGCAAGCTACAGGTCGGGCAGGGCTTTTCACAATTAGGAAGCTGCTGCCAGAAGCCTTCCAGGCAGCCAAGGCAGAAGCGATGCCCACAGGATGCTAAACACACAGGTACAGGGCAGCCAGCGCCACAAAGTCCACAAAGCTCGAGCAGGGGAGGCTGCCACAAAGCGGAGGCTGCTGTGGCTGGCACCTGGTAGCCATCGTAGGTGAGGTGATTGCCATGCTGCTGGTTCATGGCACCCGATGCAAGTTGGCAGCACTGCTCTGAACTTTCTTCTTCTGAGTCACTTTGCCAAGATCTGCTATCCAGAGGCCATACAATGTACTGATTGGAGACACCCAGTTGTCTTGTGTATGAAGACCTGCCCTATGGAACCTCGCACCAGGAAACGAAACCAAAGCAGATTTACATGTAACCCTTTGTGAACTGAAAACACCAGATAGTCAATAGAATGACTAGATTTACAGCAAGACCGAGCTCAGAAACTATATCTACAGCTGTGTCCCATTGGAGATATTCTCCTTCACATCCTCTCCCAGAGACATTTACTATACAGTATCTCTCTCAGACACACAGCAGGGAGTGAGAAGAAATCGCCCCAAATAAAATTAGTAAAAAAAGAAATTCCCTCATAGAAAGTCCTTGGAACAAGTGTGCCCACTGGAAGATTATCCCTCACCCTCTGTTTGGACAATGGTCACCAAAACACATAGAAAAGGACGGATTACACGTCAATTAAAATAAAAACTCAGTGCTTTTAAAGTGACACAAAACTCAATCAATATCTGATTTTTTTTTACCGCGATTCGCGGTAAAAACGTTGCGCGATTCTGAAGGCTACTTGGCTGTATCCCAATGTAAAACGCCCTACAAAACGGCCCAAAGAAGTACATGTACAAGTACATGTACATGTTCACACCTTTACGTTTTGTCGCGCTTTCAACGCTCTATGAACGCTCTACAAAACGTACAAACATGAAAATCCCATTGTTTTCTATGGGTATGGTTCACACCTTTCCGTTTTTATGCCCGTCAGAACGCGCTACAAAACGGCCCACGCCTGAAAAGGTACATGAGCTTCTTTGCGGCGTATTGGTCCGTTTTGTAGCGCGTTCGCGGCCATAGACTTCGACGTGAACGGACGTAAATCGTGTTTGCGCGTTTTCGTCATCTAAAATCGCGCCTATAACGCCCGTTCAGCACATGGTCAATAGACTCCACCACAGTCTTTTTCGGCCGAAGAGGAAGCAGCAAAATGGAGGAAGGTGAAGCAACAACCCTGCTTGATACAGAGGCATTCATCCGTGTCGTGAAGACAAAACCATGTCTGTACGACATGAGGCATGGAGATTACAAGAATCGACGCATCAGGCGACGTTCATGGGAAGAAGTTGCCCAGAAGATATTCAGTGATTGGGAGAGCTTAAGCAAGCAATTGAAAGCAGCAAAAGGTAAATTTCACAGTTTCCATGTTTTTTCCCATGTTCTTCCAGTGTTTACCTGCAACCTGCGTGCAGCGCTATCATGCGACTTGCGTGCAGTGTCGCATGATAGCACTGCATGCAGGTCACAGGAGAACACTGCACACAGGTTGCATGCCTGCATGTAACCTGCGTGCAGTGTTTTATCAAGACCTGCATGCAGTCTTTTCATGCGTCTTGCAGAACACTGCATGCAGGTCTTGATAAAACACTGCACGCAGAACGGATCTAAATACGCCTGAAAAACGCAGGTAAAAAACGCGCGTAAAACGCGCATACATAAAACGCCCAGGTGTGAACCAGGCCGTAGTTTGAGCGTAGGCCGTTTTGTAGGGCGTTTCAGACAGGCGGAAATACGGAGAGGTGTGAACCAGACCCATAGAAAACAATGGGATTTTCATGTTTGTACGTTTTGTTGAGCGTTCATAGAGCGTTGAACGCGCGACAAAACGTAAAGGTGTGAACGGGGCCTTAAGACCCCGTTCACATATAGCGACATACCTTGTCAGCGGCCGGGATAGCGCGACTTTCGGGGCGACGTTCCAGCGACGGTAGCGCGACCTTCTCCGTCGGGCTCCATAGAAAAAAAGCAAAATCGCGCAAAATCCGCCGAAAAAAGGGTCCAATAGAAGCGACTTGCGACCGCGACGAGCGACATGGAGTTAAGACAGCTCCATTGAATAGCATTGGCCGGCGACTTCTCGCGATATCGCGCGGCAAAAATGCGCGATATCGCGGCGGAAATCGTGCGACAATTTGCTATATGTGAACGGGGCCTTAGGAGACCCTCCTTTGCTGGAGACTGTTGCTTTTTTTCTTTAAAAGTTTATAATTCCTCGTTTTCTAGTGGCTCCCACAGCGCTCTTCCCTCCGCCCCCTGCACGGGTGCCACCATCGTTCTAATGAAGGCACCCATGCACACTCGAGCCCACTCGTTTCCGCAGTGGCTGTGTGCGTCCATTGACACACACAACCCTGTGGTAGGCCACGCCCCTTCCCTCTTTGATTGATGGCAGAAGGAGCCTATGGCTCATCTGCCATCGGTATCCACCTTCCGCAACCCGGAAGTTCGGGGAACAGAGGATCGCTTCGGGAACGACGGCGGGGACAAGCGTAGCTGACAGGTAAGAGTGGGGGGAATGGGGTAGAAAAAAGGTGCTGGGCTGTTTTTACCCTAATGCAGAGAATGCATTAAGGTAAAAATAAAACGCCCAGACCTTAAAGGAGAACTATGGGGTTCTATCTTTTTTTTATGAATGCATTCCTTAGGCTAAATAAGTAAATAATGTAATTTACTGTAATTAGCCAAAATGCATAGGAAGGCTGTAAAACCTTATTTAAGGTGGTGGGCGGGGCTAAGCGCCGCAATGAGAAGACATCCCGACGTATCTGGCGGATCCGATCTGCAGGGATCTCCAGTGACATCATTTACTATATATGGACGTTCCCATTTGTAGTAAATGCTGAAGAGAGAGAGAGGGCTCCTTCCCCTCTGTCATCAGCGATCCACGGTCATTTTATTATGTTAGTGTCACACAGGGCAGGGAGAGAGAGAGAGAGGGGGGGGGGAAGGAGCCCTCTCTCTCTCTTCAGCATTTACTACAAATGGGAACGTCCATATATAGTAAATGATGTCACTGGAGATCCCTGCAGATCGGATCCGCCAGATACGTCGGGATGTCTTCTCATTGCGGCGCTTAGCCCCGCCCACCACCTAAAATAAGGTTTTACAGCCTCACTGTGCATTTTGGCTAATTAGAGTAAATTACATTATTTACTTATTTAGCCTAAGGAATGCATTCATAAAAAAAAGATAGAATCCCATAGTTCTCCTTTAATACTACTTGAACTCCTGAGTTTAGTGTCACTTTAACCAGTTGACATCCTCGGTGTTAAACTCCCTTCCTGTCCAGGCCATTTTTCAGTATTCAGCGCTGCGGTACTTTGACTGACATTTATACTGAAATGAATTTTATACCCTTTTTTGGGGACAGATAGAGCTTATTAACACCTGTTAACGGGTGTTTGCATTGGTCAGGTCTTTTTTTTCTGCTCGCGCGCGCCCCTTGGCTGGCACGCACGGGCAGAAAAAAAATGCCGTCTGGCGACGGCAACCCGCCAATGCAGCAGTGCCATCCGTCCGTTTTTTTACAACGGCCGGACGGCAAGTGGTTAAATTTGGTTTTATATATAGGAATGTAGCAGGCCAGCAAAAGATATAATTGACTTGATCGAAAGCTCACAGGTAGGTGTAATTTACATCTTTATACACTCTATCTGCAAATCTTTTCTTCCTTAACTTGTTCTTTAAATAGAAAATACCAAATCCGCTGATTAGACACAACAACAGCACAACATAAAAGCAATTCCTACATTGCTTCATAGTGTTTTCAAAACCCTACGATCTAGCTTCATGTGACAACATTGCTGTAAATGCATGATAATGTAACATGATCAAGTCAGTTCATATCTTCCTTTTTTAGGTCATTGATAATGAATTAAGGCAAAAATGAAACACTATGTTGAGGGATGAAAAAGATTAAAGTGAAGCTGGATTTCAACCAGATAGAAAAAGCTAACATAAAACATTGTGAGGGGGATTTATCAAAATCAGAGCAGACAAAATCTGGAGTAGCTGTGCACGGCAACCAATTGGCTTCTATCTTCTATTTTAAAATATGAACTGAACAAACTAAAGAGAGAAGCTGATTGGTTGCCATGAGCAACTGCTCCAGATTTTGTCTGCTCCAGTTTTGATTAAAAAAATTATGTAAATTAGGGATGTCCCGATACCACTTTTTCAAGACCAAGTACAAGTACTTGCCGATACCAATTACCGATACTTTTTCTTAATGGGACAGGTGATATTTTTTCTGAAACAATACACACTAATGATTTTAGGGCAGTTTCTCACCAGGGCTGCGTGCAGGTCTCACCAGGGCTGAACAGAGATCTCACCAGGGCTAAATACAGATCAGACAGAATCTGTACGCAGCCTAGTGAGATCTGGAGTCCAGATCTCACCAGGCTGCGTCCAGATCTCACCAAGCTGTGTCCAGATCTCACTAGGCTGCGTCCATATGTCACCAGAGCTGTGTCCAGATCCCACCAGGCTGCTTCCAGATGTCACGCAGCCTGGTGAGATCTGTACGCGGCCTGGCGACATCTGGAGTCCAGATCCCACCAGAGCTGCGTCTAGATGTCACCAAGCTGCGTCCAGATGTCACCAGAGCTAAATACGGTCTCTCCAGCGCTCCATACAGATGTCAGTAGGGCTGCATTTCTCCACTGCTCTGACAAGTGCTGTGTTGAGGGATTGCCGAACGGAGTGGGTGCCGGTCACGTGCCCGCTCCGAGTCTGTTTTCACGGTGTCTCCTTCACGCTGTCTCCGGTTTCTCCTTCCTGGCAGGCAATGTCAAAGACAGCTACTGCCAGGTCCCCGAAGGCTGCTTCAGGGCCCCACAAGTGCAGGACCTGAGGCAGCCGACCCGATTTAAAAATGTAAAGGGCCAGTAACGGCCTTAAGTACCGGGGCATTTTCTCGAATACAAGTACTCGTGAAAATGCCCTTTATCGGCCCCTGATACCGACAACTGGTATCGGTATCAGTACATCCCTAATGTAAATGCATTTCTAAATACTGGTAGAATAAATATTTGATAACTCTCTGTATACTAGCTTAGCATTTCACAGTGATGACAGCTAAACTCTAGGAGATTGCTTGCAGGATAGGACAACCTATGGAAGACTTT